GAGGCGGAGGGATCGCCGGAGCCCAGCAGGTCGAGGCTGCGGTGGCTGGGAGCGGCCACTGCACTCCAGTCTGGGCGACTGAGTGAGACTCCAACTCAAAAAATAATAATAATAAAATAAAATAAAAATAAAATGTTTACTACCAGGCCCTTTTGCAGAAGAAGTTTGTTAACCTTTCTGTCCTCAAGCCCCACTTCCACGCTGATTTGTTTCCTCACTACTCGAAATGAGAGCCAGACACTACCTGCAGCCAGAAGGGACTCATCTTCTGAGACCACCAGGAACCTCACAGCATCTGGAAGCTTCTCCAGCAATCTGTCTCCCTCAGAGGAAACCTGTGCAGAGTCAAGGATGCCAGTCAGCTTTCTCACAGGATGAAGGGTGAACAGCTTGGATGTGACCCAAGCTCTGCCACCTATGTGACTTAAGTTCCTTAGCCCCAGTGCCTCAGTTTCCGCCTGTTAAATGGGAGACAATATCAAGACCGTCTCACAGGAATACAGCAGGCTGAGATATAACCACTTAGGGACCCAGAGAACATTCCAGCACTACTACTGGCAGCTGGAGGCCAGGCATGCTGCTAAACCGCCTATGCTGCACAGAATGGTCCTCACAGCAAAGAGCTATCCAGCCCCAAATATCAACAGTCTCAGGTAGAAAACTCGGGCCTAGAATTGCAGTTCAGAGCTCAGATTCTGACCAGGCACAGATGCTCACGCCTATCCTTCCAGCGTTTTGGGAGGGCAGGGTGGGAAGACCTACTGAGCCCAGGAGTTCAAGACCAGCCTGGGTAACATAATGAGACCTTGTCTCTGCAAAAAATGTGTAAAAGTTAGCAGAGTGTGGTGGTGCCTATAGTTGCAGCTGCTTGGAAGGCTGAGGTGGGAGGAATGCTCGAGCCCAAGAGGGTGAGGCTTCAGTGAGTTATAAGGAAACCACTGCACTCTAGCCTGGGTGACAGAGTGAGACCTCGGCTCAAAAACAAGTAAATAAAATAACCCAAGTGCCATTTTTTTTTTTTTTTTGAGTTTGAGTCTCACTCTGTTGCCCAGGCTGGAGTACAGTGGCATGCTCATGACCACTGCAGCCTTGATCTGCTGGGTTCAGGCGATTCTTCTGCTTCAGCCTAACAAGTAGCTGGAACCACAGGCGTGTGCCACCACACCCAGCTAATTTTTTTGATTTATTGGAGAGATGAGGTTTTGCTGTGTTGGTCCAGGCTGGTCTCGAATCCCTGGACTCAGGTGATCCTCTTGCCTCTACCTCCCAAAGTGCGGGGATGACAGGCGTGAGACCCCCCCATACTCAGCCCAACTGTCATTTATTAAAAGGTATGAGGTGAGATTCTTTCTCCCAGCTCCCAAGACATCTGAGCACTTTCCAGCTGAGTTAACGCCTGCATCGCCGGCATCGAGTTCCTTACCAGAGAGACGGAACCACTGCTGAACCCTGTCACGAGCCTTCCCTGCTTCTGTACTGAGACTGCACAAGTAGGTGCTTCCTCTTGGGTGCTGGCCACACGCTTCTTCCCCTGTAGTGTCCCCATGGCCAAGCTCCACAGACTGATCACACCACCCCTGGACAGGGTCAGCAGCCGGGCCTGGGACACCAGCATGGCCGTGCACACCCAGGGGTCAGAAGTGTCTCCCAGGACACGGAAAGCCAGCTCAGCAGTCTCCAGATGCCAAGCGCTGATCTAAGAGTAACAAAGAGGAAGGATATCTCAGCTGGAGGCCTGGGCTGCTGGCTTCCCAGAGTCAAATGCAAAGCCAGCTCTTTTTTTTTTTTTTTCCTTAACAGTTCATGCATTTTCCTTTCAACATTGCCAGTTCAGGAAACAAGCAAACAAAAAATGTGGGAGTGTGTGTCCTGGAACAGCAAGAGAACATGTGAGGAACAACAGATGAAATCCAAACAGCCGGGCTTGGTGGCTCAGCCTGTCATCCCACGCCTTTGGGAGGCTGAGGTGAGTGGATGGCCTGAGCCCGCGGGTTCGAAACCCGCCTGGGCAGCGAGACCTCATCTCTACAATAAATCAAAAAATCAGCCAGGCATGGTAGCGCATG